AACTAATATAATCTCTGTTTGCTTTTTTTTAGGTGTATTTCTAGAGAAAGAGAGACAGAGAGATAAAGAGACATAAGCATGCCTGACAAGGCCCCATGCTGCAGCCCCCTCCAGCAAGTCAGGTATAGATGAGTTGACATGGAGACCAAGTCAACAATCATTCCTAGGCATCTGGAATCACCCAAGCAGTGGTACTACTACACAACCAAGTTGGCCCAATAGATATGCTTAGAATTTCAAATACTGGGAACCAGCAGTTAGCGTAATGGCTATGTCGCTGGACTCCTGCGTAGTCAACCGCGGTTCGCGTCCCAGACCCAGTGGCTTAAAACTCACGCTGGGCGCATGTGCGTGCATGCCCAAGATCCCGAGTGGAGAATGGAGAAGGGATTGCGGCGTGACCATCTCCCCTGGGGGGTGATTTCTTGCTTTCTGTCTCTATGTCTCTGTCTGTGTGGCAGCACACGTGCCCTATAGTGAAAATCTCCCCCCCCAAAAAAAAGAATTTCAAATACTCATTATATCACCTTTAGATTTCAAAAATCACACACAGAACAAGTCTGAGGATTTCAAATTACTGAATTTAGCTAAATCTAATCATAGAGATACATTAATTCAACTTCTGTTGTTTGGTATTTTTTACTTTGTTAAAGGGTACATGCACTTGCAAGAGATAGAAAAAAAAAAAAGAAAGTGAGAATCACTGCTACCCCTTTTATGGGGTGTGATGGCCACATCACAATCCTTTGTCCTCCATTCTCTCAGGATTTGGGGCACAACACAAGTGACTCTGTACTCAGCATGATTTTCAAGCCACCAGGCCCAGTACTCGCTGCAGTCAGTCAGTCAAGTGAGAGTTAGTTGCCTTAATCTCCATGCCACCTGTCAGCCCAATTCAATTTGGTTTTTTAATCTCTAAAAGTTAAAGGAATCACCTGCAATTTCCTCCCAGTTTCTAAACTCAAAAAAGATAGTGGTTAATGTACCTTTGCAATGAAACGCTTAGGTTAGAGGGGAAAAAACCCCAGTTAACTGGATGAATTCCTTTATCTATTAAGCAGACAAGATTACAACTCCAAGAGACAGGAAGACAGCAATGAAGCATAAAGGGCCTGGAAATTAGCTGGTAGCATTTGTTTCCAAAACTAATTTCAAAGTTATTCTTTTTTCTTTTTTTAGTACCAGTGACCAAGGAATAGCAGGGGGAAAGCAAGAAAAAAGCAGTACTTTTTGAAAACAATTGACTGCGCTGCTTGCATTTAATCGACAATTCTGTGGGCCAAGGAATAAACAGTGGAAGTCAACATATCTAACCATTGTGATCATTTGAGCATTAGGCATTCCAATCGCCCACTTCAATTTCTTGTACTCTTGCTTCCCCCGCTGTATTTAAGTAAGTTACTAGAGAGATTCCCTTTCAGTAATGAGACCAAATGGCTCCTGGATACCAATCCTGGCCATATAATTCCCTTTCCTCAAGAAGGGGAATACTTTCAGACAACACAAAACAATGACCAACCAAGACAGAAGACTAGAAACTTGGGCAGGGAAGATAAAAGTTTTTTCTCTTTTAATTTTTTTAAAGCTTCTCCCTGAGTTTCTTCTCTTGGGAGCTGTATTTTAGAGTGATGAGGCTCAAGGCTGGCTTTGTCTTGGCTTGAAGAAAGCTGAAAAGTATCAGGTGGAGAGAGACCAGAGGAATAAATGGGGACAGACGCAGGCTATGTGGGCCTGGCTGGGTCTCGGGCTTTAAGGAAAAAGGACAGTTAAGGGCTGAGATCATAAGGATAGGAAAGTGGACACATGTACCCAGTGTTTTTTTTTTTTAAAACCACCAGAGCCAGGATTCGAACAGTGGTTGACTGTGTGGGATCCAGCTCCCTTAACTAGTAGGCTATCTGGCTGGCCCAAAAAGGACTGTCCTTTACACTCTCAACTGAGCCTGGAGCAATGCTGACTCAGAAATATAAGGGGAGTTAGGAGTAGCCACATTAAACAAGTAAAAAGAAACAAAATTAATTTTAATAGTATATTTTATATAGCCTAAAATATGTTATTTGAAATGTTATCATTTCAAAATGTAATCAATGTAAATGTTATTAATGAAGGCTGACTCCATGGCCTGGTGGTTAAGGCGGCTGGAGCCCATAAGGCTAACTGTGCAGTTCACGTTCCAGATCCTGGGCTGGGAAACATACCAGGTTATGTGTGTATGTGTGCCCAAATCCTAAAGGGAAGGCAATGTGGACAAGAAGGGGTTGCAGCATGACCACTCTTCACTTCTTCACTTTCTCTTTTCTCTCTCTCTCTGCCTGTCTGTGTCTCTAGTGAGTATATACACTCACTAGTCAAAAAAAAAAAAAAAAAAATTCAATAGGACAATGGGATATTTTACACTCCTTATTGTACCAAGTCTTAAAAACCCAGTCTATATAATTCAGAAAAACTAAATTTCTTTTTTACTAAGTTTCTATCTTTCATGAATGAGAGGGGAAAAGAGAAAGACAGGGACAGGCACTCCCAACGGCATCTTCATGTCACAATCAATCCCCAAGCTGCATGAACACACATACACTTGGTATGTTCAGGGAGGTCCCCAGAAGTGAAGCCACAACCTTCCCAGGCGGGTTAGCTTAGCAGAACAACGAGTTACGGCACGGACCACATGGCCTCCCAAGCATCAGTTCTAAGACTGTACGAGGCTCATATCTAGCATTCAATAGCCACACGTTGTTAGCACCTACCAAACTTGACAGCAAGGTCTGCAGTCTATTTAATAATTAAATAATGAGGAATGGGCGAGGAGAATGGAGGAGAAGAGATTGCAGTGTGGCCATCCCCCCTGGGGGGTGATTTCTCGCTTTCTGTCTCTCTGTCTCTGTCTTTCTGGCGAGTGCACGTGCCCTATAGCAAAAAAAAAATTAATAATAATAAAAATAAAAGAGGGAATGGTATCAAGAAATAACAAGATTAGAACAAAACTACCAATTTGGCTGAAAGTCTACTAATTAATTTGGCAAGGTAGGTTTTTAAAAAGCAGCAGCTCTGCCTTCTTACTAAGAGAACATTAAAATTAAACCAGTTTGTCCAGATGAAATCAGTCCTATTAGCATTGTTTTACTGAAAAAGAGAAGGCAAGCATGCATAGCAGTCTGGACAGTACACAAATAACGGCAGGTTGGACTCCACTTCCACTGTCTCCTCTTAGTCCTTTAGGGACTCTGCCCTCTATAGAAAATGCTCCAAGTCTCTTGTTTATTTACTGGCTAATGTAGGACTTTGTCCAAAGCAAATGACCATCCACACCAAATAAAATGCAAGTTACCTCCTCAACTCTTGGGAGAGGGAAGAGAAAACAGATCTTACCACTCATTAGCGCCTGAAGTGTTGCCAGATGTTGAGTTGTGGGCACTTGGGGCTCTCACTGAACTGAACCACAAAGCTGCTGTCTATAGTAACTTTCTCTTTGTGGGTTGTTTTGGCCTAACAAGATGTGTACATGTCTGAATAAAGGGTGATCGGATTTAAATTCTGGCTCTGCCAACTGTTGGGGAAGCTGGATTATAACACAAATACCCATGTTCACGGTGCTGGAAAAGATCAGTCTTAAAAATTTAAGCATTCAGTGCAAATAACAGCTTATTTCAGTTGAAGTTTCTTTATGTCAATTAAAGCACACAACTGCACAGTTTATTTTGCTTCAATGCAGGTTTGAAAGGCAGATAGAGAGAAAACAATATTTTCCAAATTTTTATCTACTGACCAAAATAACATGTATGATTAAGCCACTGTGCAGTATATTCTGGATGGGAAATAATTTTGTATGTTGTGACAGTGAATGAATGTAAATTAATTAATTAAAAATTTAAAAAGACATCACTATGTATGTTATATAATCTATATATACCATATGATGCAATATATAGTCATGCATAATTTAATAATGGAGATAGGGGACCAGCAGTTGGTGTAATGGCTACATCGCTGGACTCCCATGTAGTTGACTGCAGTTCGAGCCCCTGATCTGGTCGCTTAAACTCACGCCAGGTTCATGTCTGTGTGTGCCCAAGATCCTGAGAAAAGAATGGAGGAGAAGGGATTGCAGCACGGCCATCCCCTGAAGGGGTGATTTCAGGCTTTCTGTCTCTCTGTCTCTGTCTTTCTGGTGAGCACACATGCCCTATAGCAAAAATCTCTAAAAAATAAAAATTAAAAACTAATGGAGATAGGTTCTGAGAAATGCACTGTTAAGCAATTTTGTTAGTGTGCAAACATCAATAGAGTGCACAGACACAACCATAGGTGGTATAACCTACTACACACTGAGGCTATCTAGTATAGCCTATTGTAACCTTACGAGGCGTCTGTTGTATCTGCAGTCCATCACTGACCAAAATGTTGTCATACAGCACAGGAAAGTATTCCAGTGACTACATACATAACAGTATGTACCATACTACATAGAACTTATAGTGTATGTCAGTTTCCTGCTACATGAGCACACATCTGTTTTCTCCTCCATGGCTCAGCAGCCAGCATCACTCTTCTCTTAGCCAGCCTCAGTATGTGGACCTGCATGTTTGTTCCCCAGGTCAGCAGTACCGCTGCTGGCAGCCAGCTGTAGGCAGTGACACATGTCTTTATTGGACCTAACTGACAGCTTACGTTTATCAAGTCTATTTCCACTCAAAAGTCACAAACGCAAGCATATTTGTCACTTGGGGTTTAGCTTTCAGTAATGATTAGAAGTCTAAGGACCACTGAATGAATTCAGATCTTCTGTTTGTTTCAAACTAGAATGGAATACATTTTTTACAGAGCGTTACAGATAGCAGTCTATCATAACATAGAAAGACGCACCATTATGTTGACCGAGCATTTTTAAAGTCAGGGAATAAATGGGAAAAAAATGAAATGCTGATCATTTCCTTCTGACACAGATAAATTAAACAGTGTGAAATGAAAAGTGTAGGCAAAGTCAGTCAGCCCCCAAAACTCACCTGCATTGGAGCCTGTCAGGTTATAACGTGCATTCAGCTTCTTGATGATATTCTCGTGGATTTGGTACCATTCACTCTCTGTGTTACACCTACAGAAACATCAACACTGTATTAAGCTTTAGCGATGCATGAGATCATGCAATGATGTCCACAGCACCCCCACCCTTCCTGTAACAACCACTCTAATGTACATCCCTAAACCTCGTGAGAATCTCCAACAGTTTTAGCCTGGGTTCCCCAAGAGGAGTAGGAGAGCCCGTATCTGGAGGTATCTGACCACCTGCCTCATGATTCGTGTGGCTGTGATAAACAACTCACAGATTACACAGATGATCCCCAAACAAATGAACAAAAAAAAAAAACCTCAAAGGATAATGCATATAGTGGAAAGTAAACTCAAATTTCCCAGATTCAAATTCTGACTATTAACTGAGCTTTGTTCTTTAGGTAAATTATTTGGCCTTTTCTTAGTTTCTCCATCTGTGAAACAGGGTTAATATACTAGAATATTAAACAAGCATGGGCTTAGGATAATGCCTGAGACATAACAAATGTTCAATACATGATCATTCTCATTAGAGACTCTCTACCTACTGTAACACGATCAGGTTTGGCTAGCATCAAAATGCAAACAGTCAAGCATAATGAAATTGATGTGACCACAGCCTGCACCAGCAAAAAGGCTTCCAGGATTTACCATAGGGTAATAAAAACATTCTCTAAGATTTTCCAGGTCTAGGAGAAAAGGTATCTCTGCCTTACCCTCACAGCCATCTGTACCCCCTTTAACTCTGATCGCTTGCTAGCTCATGTTATCTTTGTTTACATGGAAGATCTAGGACAGGTTGATATCTGAGTCTCCCTGATATCTTCCTTTGAACCTTATGGATGCTAAAAAAAAAAAAAGAAAAAATCAGTCACGGCTGGCTCCACAGTGCAGTGGTTAAGTGCTCTGCCTTGGGAGCCGGATCGCATAGCTAACTGCAGTGGCTTGGAAAACATGCTGGGTGGCTGTGCGTGCCCAAAATCCTGATAGGAAGAAGGGGAGGAAGAAAGAGTGTGACATGACCACTCCTCATTTGGGGTATCCTGTTTCTCTGGGGAGCACATGCACCTTCTGACAATAAAAAAACAAAAATTTTAAAAACCAAATAAACAAAACCCAAGCTATCGGTTGCACAAATAAACAGATAACTAGATGTCCCTGTGATTAGTAATTCCTGATGATCCATAAATATTTGGGTGTGCTATCTATCTTTACTGCCACACGTCCCCCCGTTAGGATGGGGGGAACTGTCATTTCGGCATGTTTGTAAATTTGCTACTTTCTTTTCTTACCCATAAATGGTCTCTCCCAAGAGCCTTGAATATCAAGACCTATACATTATCAATCAAACTGTGCCACAGTACAGATTCCTTTTCCTAGTGATCATGTCTGATGCAGAAAATTCACAATTATTTTCTTTCATATTTATTTTTTTAAGCAGTGGAAGTTTGTTCGGGATGAATGTGATGGGGGTTATTTTCAAGCTAGTTAACAGTGGGATACCAAACTGAGCACTGAATCTTGGAAGGCTGGAAAATGAAGATGGAATGAAATCAACCCACCTGTCCAGTTGTAACACATCAAATTGCCATTTAGAACACTCTGCTTCCTGTTCTTATTTCAGCCCAGTAGGAAAATAAGAAAGATGGCTTACTTCCTACTAGACAGTTAAGTGACTCCAGACATTGTGCTTTAACTCACAAAACTCCAAATAACTCAATGCTCCTAAAACAAGTGAATGAAGTATCTCCTAGGCTCAGACACAGTATTTGTCACTGCTCCTTAATTGAGTCTGAATTGGGCTAGGAATTTAGTTAACTTAACAAATCAAAATTTCTTTTACATGGCTTCTAAGAGGAATGTTCCTAAAATGTTTTACTAAATTCACTTTCTTCCTAATCCATAGTGACTGTCTGACTAGTAAGTATTCCTCTTGAAATAGTTTCGGGACTTGCTGACATGGCATTTCTAAGGGATTTCTCTTCCAAAACCTCATTTGATACTTAAAAAGAAAAAAAACAAACAAAAACAACAATGACAAAAACCACAGACAATAAAACCCACACAAAGTAGAGCAATTTATTTTTATGAGAGCCAGTGCCTCCCCTAGGCAGAGCTGCAATTCACAGTCTTCATCAGCTGGTGGATGGGTGAGGCCTATACCCGCCAGTCCCAACATAAATACAGCAGCAACAGAAACATAGTACTTGCTACCCACACCTGGAAAAAGTGCTCTGAGGAACGATGAGATTATGTTTGTGAGAAACTTTAGTTTTCTTCAAAAGCAATGTCACATAACAGCATCATTATCACATCTGTGTGAAACAACCTCTGGAAGAATACAACCTCTTAATCTGAGAGCTCACATTCTAGAATCAGAAAAACCTGACTTCGAATCTGGTTCTTCTTCAAATTCTCTAACTCTCTGTCCCCTTATGTATAAAACTGAGCTAAGAACATTTGCTTCACAAATTTGTGGTGAGGAATGAAGAAACACGATACATGCAAAGCGCTTGTATGGTTCTTCACACGCCGTAAGTACAGTAAAGGGTGGCTGTTATCAATCATTAGTATTTAAATCGATTCTGTTTCATGACTACCAGCAGAGTTTAGAAAGAAGATCCTCATGGATTTAAGCCCAACTATGTGATAAAAAGAGTAATAAGTATTGGCGCCAACCAGTTCCCTCAGATGTTTTGAAGTTTAAAATCAAGATCACAGGTTTCATCCCTCTTTGGAAGGTTAAAGAGAGTTTCCAGTGCTAAGCTAGAGGTTGTAGTTAAATCTTTGTCAATTAATTACTAAATGTGTTGTACAGGCCCTGCTGGGTAGATAGCAGATATGTTCATAAAACCCTATAGCAGTTGCTCAAAACCCAATTCTAAGTATACATTCAGCAGGCACCAGGCCAGCTGTGTTATCCTCACATATGACAAAATGACTGGCATGTTAGATATATCAACACAACCTCCAGGACGGAACAGGAAAGCAAGCTTGCTCATGGAGATGGCTGTCAGGGATGTACAAACTCCAGCTGGTGTGTTCTGAGCACGTCACTGTATACCAGCGTCCAATCACCAAGCCCATGGGGAGGTGATCAGGATGTAGGGATTCACACCCATACGCATTTCAAAAGTGATTTAAATTAGGATTTGGAATATATTCAGTTACCTTCTCAGTAGAGTGTTATAAGTTGAACTGTGTCCCCAAGAATGATAATGTTGAAGACCTAACCCCCAGTATCTCAATATTAAAATGATGGATGGTCTTTTCAGAGGCAATGAAGTTACAGTGAAGTCATGAGGGTAAGCCCCAAACCAATATAACTGTCTTTATAAAACAAATAAATGAACAAAACTGTGAGGGCTAGCAAGTGATGGAGAAGTTAAGGCGGCTGGCTCCCATGTGGCCAACTGCATGGTTTGAGTCTCAGACATAATGACTTGAATATTATGCCAGGCACATGTGCACATGTACCCAAAAATTCAGAGAGGAGAATGGAGAAAGGATTGTGGTGTGGCCACGCTCCCTGGTGAGTGGTTTCTCACTTTCTCCTCTCTCTCTCTCTGCCTCTCTCTGGCAAGCACATGTAAGCCCCTACTCACACCATATTTTAGATTACTAGCCTCCATGGTTCTGAAACAATACACTTCTACTGTTGAAGCCATGCTGTTTGTAGGACTTTGTCATGGCAGGCCCAGCAAACTAATACTTGAGTAGGAGGCAAATCACCCCAGCTTTGCTTTCCTATTCTAAATAACTTACATTGAAAAAGATTTCCACTTTCCATGAACAAATTAACTGCCTGAAGATAAAGACATCATTGGTTTACAAATTCTAAGGAGGTACTCAACACAGTAGATGACCTACCTAATTAATAGGCTATATTCACTGGTTTTCAATTTCATAATCCCTCTGACTGGCAAATAGTGACTGTGGGTTCACTTGTTTCAAGTCTATAGATTAATATACTTTTTAGAAATGGCTCATAAATCCAACCCATTCTCCTCTGCTAGCCTGGTAAAGAAGCATTCATGCAAGTAGCATCTACGTGAACATCTGTGCCCCCTCACCCCCCACCTCATGCATGATTCTTACATGTACACTTTCAAGACCAGGTCATCCTTCGTCTCTCCAGTAAGAAGGTCGGCGATGCTGAGAACTGCACAGCCGAAGGGTCTTCGGTACTGGACACTACAGGCATTCTTTTTTTCTCCTGCTCCCATTCGACCTGCCCAGTTACAAAGCAAAGATGATCAACTTGCCATTTAATCAGGGTCATTGTAACAAAACACACACAGCTACAAGTCAGGCCATATAAAATGTGACTGAGTAATGAAAAGGACACCGGTTTAGGGAAACAGAAGATACTGCTCTCCAACCTTTTGGCAGTGTGACCTTAGACAAGTAGCTTAAATGCTGGGCATCAGCTGCCATCTGTAAAATACAGAAATTGTACTTGAACCACATTTGGGAAATAATCCCCCATAAAGGATCCCAGGAGGTTCATGTCATTAAAGGCAGTCAAGATGCCTATTTTATCTATTTATTTTAAAAAAGATTTCATAGTTAAAAGAAAACTATTTCACAAAGAAAGAAAGCAGTTTGAGATCCTCTGAAGAATAGTAAGATAGGCAATGAAAGGAACATGCTCCTACTTCAGGGCTTGGGCTGTTTATAAATCATTGAATCCTGAAATCCCTTCAGGGGACTGATGATGCTAAAGTTTTTAAATTGGTTAAAATTGTCACATAGTTTTTTTCTTGTTCTTGTTTTTTGAGAGTTTTTTTGCTATAGGGTGCATGCACTTGCCAGAGAGACAGAGAAACAGAAAGAGAAAAGTTATCTCTCAGGGGGGATGGCCATGCCGTAATCCCTTCTCCTCCATTCTCCTCTTGGGATTTTGGGCATGCATGCATGTACATGCACCTGGCGTGAGTTTCCAGCTACTGGGTCTAGAACTTGAACAGCAGTCAGCCCTGTGGGAGTCTAGCACCTTAATCACCACCTGCTGTCCCCAGTTAAACTGTCCCATAGTTTTAAATATGCTATTGATAATATACTTATTTAATTTATTATTAGCATTTAGTCATCAATGGATTATTTTGAAGACAAAACTACACTGAAGCTGAAATGTAATAAGTAAATGTGGGAAAATACAATGGAAAAAAATCAGCAAATTTGTCTTTAGGTGCTTGTCAACAGACCCATAACTTGTTTCTATCCGGAAAAAAATCCTTCCATAGCACACTGAAATGATGTGAGCACTTCCAAAATTCAGTGTAAATGAGAAAAAAAGGGGGGAGAATGGAAGGGATGGCAGAATCTAATTTGGTTCTCATCCATCAGTAATAAAGGAAAAGTACCTCTGCAATATGTCACTTTCTGGGAAAATGCTTAAAAATAGCAGCTGAAAACCTCTTATTTTAATAGACTCAACACTAAAAAAATGGTCAAAATAAGCCAGTTTTGGGGGGTGTTTTTGGACATGCAAAATGTAAGCATTTAAAATATCAGGTTTTCATGACCTGATGCTGTATATGTAAATGTCAATCTGCACAGCAGTAATATAAATTCTGCCTGCAAAACAAACACTTTATAATGTGATATTTGAATTTAATTGTCAGCAATCATACTTTTATTATGAAATTGATTCAAACAAATTTAAAACTTCAGTCATTCTTTAAATGAATAAAAAGGTCTTGATTTCAACTGGGGTACTGGAAGAGTTGTGACGTATTTTTTCCCATGTTTTTCTATGCAAAATATTTCATGACTTCTCTTGACAACCCAATATTTTTAATATTATTACAGAATTTATTAGGAGGAAATATATACTCCAGTCTTTATCAATACCTTAATTTAAAGTAGAATTTTTTCTTAATCATTCCCTTGTAGATGGAAGGTGATAAAGTTTTTAGAAGTAATCACTTTACTTCTGGGTGAGTTAAGGACTTCAGAGTACTGAGGAAAGCACTTCAAAGTTATTTAATATAAGAAAAGTCCATTGTAAAAGAAGAAACTTGAAACTCTAAACAAGATTATTCCTAAGGACTTTTCTAACTCTAAATTCCTGTCATTTACGCCAGGACATAGCCGACATATCTTATCAGTCCTTTTTACCAAAATTCCTTTCATCAGAGAGAGAATACAAGAGAGAGCATTAGAGACAGAGCATGTGTGTGTAAGCAGAGGGACAGGCCATCTCAGCAGGGCCTTGTCACACCAAGATCCCCCTCCCCAGCCACACAGCAAGTCAGGATGCCAGACACGAGCACACCATGTGCTTCAGGTTGACTTGGAATCTGAACCCATGGTCTGTCAAGTGGCTTCTACCCATCAGCACACTACTGCCTGCTCCTTCTTCAGCTAGTACTTCACTAAAAACAAAAACAAAACAAAACAAAAACCCTAGAACTCTAGGGGAGGATGACTGATCAAAAAAGAGAATCAGGGTAAGTGCGGCCCCCATAGTCACTGAGAAGACTCCAGCCAGAGTTCTGTCACATTGGGAGGAAACTTCTCTTTCAAACCTCCATGCCGCTCATGCCTTCATACACAAATTTAAGTTTTCTTTCTTGGTTCTATAGATATCATACCTTTGGATGTCAGCTTTAGTGTAATTACTGTGATGAAAAGATGACCTGAGGCCAGTCCTGGTATCCTAACTCCAAAATTAATAAAGATTTGCAGTTCTGGTCAGATTTATAGGAAAATTCTCTAAGCAGGAAGTTAAATAGGAAGAGTGGGAGAAGATAAAAATATTAAGTAACCAGCAAAAAAACAAGAAGGAGAAGCACAGAAGTTCAAAGACCTTCATAACTGAGTTGGACAAAAAGATATAAAGCTCTTAATTTCTCTTTTTCTCCTCCTTTTCCTTTCAATGATGTGGGCTTAAATTTCTAAAACTGAGGTGCTCCTGCTCTAGCTTTCTACAGCCAGTGAGGGTCAGCATGACCTTCTCCTACTAAAGTGGATACAAGGGACATTCCAAAAAAGTAAGTATCTGTTCTCGGTAAACCAACCAACCAACCAACCAAAAACATCTTCTCCTTAATTTCACTGCATTGAAGGAGCTGGTAGACTAAGCTTTTATATTTCTTTGATGTTTTATCTTAATCTGATTTCTCTTCAGTCTCAAAATATTGAAATTAGTTGATTTTTTCCCAAGTTTTTGGCAATAATATCAGAGAAGTATTCATGTGACCAAAGCTGAAGGGGAGAGGGTGGGTAGGTAATTTCTCTTTTTTTTTTTTTAAAGGGATTTTTTTGCTATAGGGTGTATGTGCTCACCAGAGAGACAAAAAAAGAAAGACAGGAAGCAAGAAATCATTCCATGGAGGGATGGTCACACAGCAATCCCTTCTCCTCCATTCTCCCCCTGGAATTTTGGGCATGCACACACACACACCCAGCATGAGTCTCAAGTCTCTGGGTCCAAGACTCGCACCACAGTTGACTATGTGGAAGTCCAGTGACATAACCATTATGCAATCTGCTGGTTTCATGCAATTTCTAATTCAACATTAATACTGCTAACTTAATGGCCATAAAAAAATCTCAGTAAAATGTATAACCACGATCAAATATATAGCTCTGTGAGATGGATTCCTTGGCAGTGATGCTGTGCATTAATGTCCTGGGCCCAAAGAGTACATTCTCACTCTGTTGCATGTTTTTCTATCACCAAAACCTTGTAGATACTTTCTAGAAGGTTCCAAAAGTGGACGAACCTAGCAGCCTAGTGGATAAAGGAGCCAGATCCCACATGGATAATTAAAGTTGAAATCCAAGCCCCACAGCTTGAAAAACATGAAACCAGCAGATAGTGTAAAGGTTAAGTTGCTGGACTCCCATGTAGGTGACAGTGGTCCAAGTTCTAGATCTGGCAGCTTAAAACTCATGCTGGCTCTATGTGTGTGCATGCCCAAAATCCCAAGAGGAGAATGGAGAAGAGATTGTGGCTTGGCCAAACCCCCTGTGGGGGAGGTTTTTTCTTGCTTTCTGAATCTCTCTGTCTCTCTGGTGAGCGCATATACCCTATAGCAAAAAGCTCTCTTAAAAAAAAAAAAAAGGAATAATAGGCATCAGACTTTGGACCTCAGGCACTTCTTCTCTCTCCCACTCTCTCTGTCTCTCTTTGGGGAGTATAAGCACCCTCTGGCAATTAAAGAAAAGAAAAAAGAAGAAAAGAAAAGAAAAGATCTTAAAATGAAAGTGTTTTACTTTTTTCTCAATGCTATAAGAAGTTACATTCAAATTTTAGCAATGGTTTCATGAAATTGTCCAAAACCACATTTTCCTCTAACAATTAATTTGACAAATTTGAGTCAAAACAGACACACGAACACACAATTACATAATGAACTGCACTCCTGTCATCCTGGGAACAGACAGAGGCTTTATCTCATACGTACACAGCAGCATGGGTTCCAACTTTTCCGACATTTGAAAAGACTCATTCCAATTTTTTTTTTCCCACATACTCATTTACAAAAAGAAAAACTGAAACAAAACCCCAAACAGTTTACTTATTTTTTAAAAAATTCGACTGTCTAATAAAATGAAAATGGGTTTTCAGAACAAATTTTTATTTAAAATAGTACTTAAAAAATTTGTTGGAATGATAGCACATTTCAGCTTCTCTCAATATACAATATGGTTATCATGTACATAAACAACCACTTTGCAAAACTGCATGATGAGAGATTATCTTGCAGAAGTATTCCCACCCAAGTAAAGTAACAGCACAGTCAGTGAAGCAGTTGGACTGAACTTCCAGCATGAGTGGTCAGCCCTAATAGAAAAGCTGTGCAGACTACACCACTCCTTATTTTATCCAGTTCCTCTGCCATCAAATGCCCCCTTTAAAAGGTATTTATGTGTAAAAATAAGGAAATGCATTCTGGCTGTTGAGCAAATTCATCCTACTATGTTTTGCAAGATGTTAATAATTGCTACAGTGTATAAATATTTCCATAATCAAATCAAATATAGAGAATTCCAGAGAGCAACAAAGTTAGAGAGGCCTATTTACTTTTTCCTATAGATTTTTCAGACCCTCTGCTATACTGATGACATTGCAGAGTGGAAAAAAAAGTAGTAATAACACAACAAAAAAAAAGTAGTCAGTATTTCAAAAGCCTTTTCTTGCCACTCTTCTGTAATAACACTGTAGAATCCTGCACTTTGGAAAATGCAATAGGTATAATGATTTCATAAATGTGTGGGGAACTCAACTAAAAATTTAGTTTATGATGAACAGAAAGTAGAATTTAAAATGAAAAAAGTACTTGAATCAACTATGTTTAGGAGGATCAATAAAATATAGCAAGACTCACATCAAAATAGATTAAAATCTATTCATGGTGGAGGAAGAGGTTCCAAGTGAGGTTAGGAAGGCTAGAGAACAATTTTCAACCTCTGTGACCCTTGGATTCAAACCTAGCTTTGGCTTCTTTCTGATCCACATAGCAAATAAATCAAAATCACATAGAGACCTCTCAGGATTTCTTATCCCTGTTCCTTTCCCTTATCACACGGCCAAGTCTATACCTACCTATTCGGATAATGTGCACAGTGATGTAGATGTCCTTTCTCAGTTCGCTGCTACCCAAATCCTACAAAAAAACAATAAAACAAACAAAAAACCACAACTTTAGGTCTATTGATATCAATAAAAGGAAAGACCATTGTTGATTTTCAATATCTTATTCATTCTTTAAATATTTATTAATAAGCAAATACTAAATACTAGGTACCATGCTAAGTCCTATTATCATAGTACTTTGGTAACATAGGTTGAACATCCCTAATTCAAAGGTAGATCCAAAATCCAAAATGCTTTAAAATCTGAAACTTTTTGAGCACCATGTCATAAGGGAAAAATTCTACAGCTGAACTACATGTCAGAGGTCACAATTCAAATGCTGTAATACAAGAATATGGCATAAAGTTACCATCGGACTATAAGGTTTACATAAAGCATAAATGTGTTTAGACATGGGTTCTAACTCCAACAGGTCTCATTATGTATATGCAAATATTCCAAAATCTGAAAAAATTAAAAATCTGAACATTTCTAGTCCCATTCATTTCAGATAAGGGATACTCAAATGTATCATAATAGCATCAATAATATATTGACAGAAGTATTAATTAAATAAGGTTGGTAATACACTGAAGGAAGGAAAGTAACCATGCATCTTGGTATTCAGAACACTTGGCACGAACTTAATTTTTGCTATTTACAAGGTTTAAGCAAATTTCACTGTGTTTTATCATAATAATTTATTTCAATAAATAATATAAATAATATAAGCACAGAACAAGCAGATGACATAATGGTTACATTGCAAAACTCCCACGTAGTTGACCATGGTTTGAGTCCTGGACCTGGTGGCTGAAAACACTAACGCCAGGCATGTGTGTGCATACACCCAAGATCCTGAGAGGAGAATGGAGGAGGGATTGTGGAGTGGGCAGCCCCCTGGGGGATGACTTTTTCACTTTCTGTCTCTCTGTTTCTTTGTCTCTTTGGTGAACATGCACACTCTTTAGCAAAAATCTCTCTCTAAAAAAATAAATAATAATAATATAAGCACAACTAGGATAATCCACCTCATGGATGAAACAAGATTTACTTACCACAAAGAGAGAGCAATGTCGCTCTGGCTTATCTGGAGCTTTGGGAAGCCCATTTCTATTCAGCCTCAAGAAAAATCTCTCACTATAAGAGAAAAAAAATTATTTTTTTGAAAATTATTTAATATTTAAGAATTTATCCCTTTTCACCCTTTAGGCCAGAACCACCATCTTCTAGTAATTAACCAAAATGACAAGTACAAAGTGAAAGAGGAAAGGTACCCGATATATGTTCTCTAGGCCTTTTAGAAAACATGGAGTGGTTCCTTTGGCAACATACATGTGAAGCTACAAGAAAGGTGATATTGTAGACATCAAGGGAATGGGTACTGTTCAAAAAGGAATGCCCAACATATGTTGCCATAACAAAACTGGACGAGTCTACAATGTTACCCAGCAAGCTGTTGGCATTGTTGTGAACAAACAAGGGCAAGATTCTTGCCAAGAGAATTAATGTGCATATTGAGCATATTAAGCATTCTAAGAGCAGAGATAGCTTCCTAAAACATGTGATGGAAAATGATCACATGGGATCATTTAACTAAAGCACCAGCCTGCTCCGCCCAGAGAAACACACTTTGTGAGAACCAATGGGAAGGAGCCTGAGCTTCTGGAACCTATCCATGGCATGATGGGTGTTAAAAATAAACAAATCTATGGTCTACTAAAAAAAAAATAAATAAATAAAATAAAATTATCCCTTTACTAATTTTGCTTCATTCTAAGAGTTAAATTCAGTATTTATTTACTATTCATTTAACATAGAAATTTCTTGCATAAATTAGGAGAGTAGTAGCAAAAATAAACATTTGCTTCAATTCTGACAAAATTGGCAAAGCAATTGCAAAAGAAGAAAACATAAATATATATGCAAACAAAAATAAACTCTGCTTTCCTTCTCTACTTTTGCCTTTATCTATTGAGATTATCAAAGAATTTTTTTGGTCAGTTACAGTATTGTTTTATTACCTAATGTGTCAATTTTGAATTCCTAGAATAAATCACATGTAGTCACACACACACACACACACACAGAACAAAACAGGCTTCCATATCAGCAACAGCACTGTTATGATTTTTAAAAGTAGAAACAAATGTGAGATAAAAAGAGAGAGAGAGAGAAACAACATACAGCATAATGTGTTTCATTTGTTTGTCACTAAGAAGCTTTTTTTAATCACATTTTATGCCCTATTATATAATTAACATTAAGAACATTATCCTGAGTGCTAACCATCAACTAGAAGACTTAATATTTCATGATCTTATTAAGTCTAGAATCCAAAAACGTAACTGGAGTCCAAGAAATGAAGCTTGAGTTTTCTTTGGTTTACAAAGAAACAGAAAATCACAAACTCCTGACTGAACCTGCATTTGAAAATACAGTACCACCCAGATTTAATGTAAACATAAATGATGCTGTTGATCAGCCACTAATTCATGGTAACAAGTACTTATACATGGTGTTACATACTGATTTTAAAAAATAAGACAAATATCAACCCAGGAAAAATTCATCTACCAACTACCACAAGCTTCAAAATCCTAGCTGAATTTCAATATCCTGGTGCTTATGATATATTCAAATGACTGGCTGCCTCAGGCAGAGAACACACAACCAATATCCATAGAATGTGAAATTATTATGTAGTGTGGCCTTGGTCAGTGTAGTGTCAGCCTAGGGAAGAAGGAGGGAACTTGAGTATAGGACGTTAGTAAAAGTCTCAGAACCTACCAAGCCTCTATGTTATATGATCACTGTACCCTTGCCTTCAATAATGGTTTCAGCATCCAAATACATACACTAAGAAAAATGAGCTATAAACATCTTTAAAGAAGCATATGGATATGAACTGATGGTCATTTGGAATCACATTTATTCGATTTTGTGATCTAAATCTAGGTAGATACATTTAACAGATTCAATCACCTGGCTTTTCCCATCTCTTTCTTATATTATTCATATTCCTGACCTTGTGTATGAAAATGGATGGCCAATACCACTTTAACGGGGCCTTCTCCACCCCTATTTCTTTCCACGGAGTAGGTAGTTGGTAAGGTGTGAATGAAGTAAATATAAATTGCTACAAGTATCTCAGTTGAAGCTAAACCTCCCATATGGTATTAGTTTGAAACAGAGATTAGGAATGACAGACATAGTAAGAATGCAGAATTAAATTAATCTTATCCAATTCCATTGACTGTAATTCAAAGAAAAGAATTTCAAGTTCTCTTTGCAATAGAAGAAAATTCACTATTATTTCAAATTTAAAATATGATAAAAGAAAATGTGCAAAAATTCATCTTGGCATAAAGAAACCATACTTTAAATAATCATATTAAAGTTCATAAAGCTGGTATGTGACTGAGTGAGAATTCTATCCCATAGATTAATTTAAAACCCTTCCATTTCATTTGAATGCAATCAGGTAAATTTTTTGTCTCCCTTATAGAGACAAAGAGCAAATGCTTTCAGAAGATTGAAACAAAGGAGAAGTCATTTTTCTTGCTGGGACAGCCATGTAACTTCATTAAACCTAGACACAAGAATTCAGGATAACTTACCCCAAGCTCTTCCTGGACTAAAAGGAATGAAGGAAATGTGAACCATGATTCAGCACATTTCAAAGTGAAATATACACAGAAAAAACTGACTTTTTCCCCCCAAAATAATTATTTTACTAATAAAATGCAAAATTTCTAAAAAATACTTTAGAACTTGGTTTTATTTAGTCAAAATGACTAAGCTGAAGACTGCTATTTGGTTTGCATCACAGTAACCAGTCTCCTAACACATGAAATTCATTGATTATATTTTAGTACAAAACATATACAATGTGATGATTTTTCCTTCTCCCAGGCTAAGATCAGTATGCTCTGTTTTATATTTTTTGAGATCAACTTATGTTTGAAGTTCTTTATTCCTCCATTTGAAACAACTGTCGTATTATCTTCTGATAGGTAAGTATAAAATGATGAATACCAATAAGCTTCATATACAAAAATGAATAGGACATTCTAGATTTTAAAACAATAACTTTAATATCAACATAAAATAGAACTCTACACCTGCAAGTTTCATCAATATTCTGGTAAAACAACGTTTCCTAAATTACTCTATTTCAGAAAGAGATCCCTTCTTATCTGTCACTATTTTAATTTCACTAGTCTAGACAGAATCCTGATTATGCAAGTATTATACTATATCATATCCTGTTTCAGAAAGAATATCAATGTATACTAAGCCAATGACATATCCCTTAGCTTAGCATGCCTTCATGGAGAGATGAAAACAGACTGAAGATCGGTACTAGGGAGAAATAAGTCATGTGCATTTTTTAAAGATATCTTTCAAAAGGAGAATGAAAAAAAGAATCTCCATGGTCAATTAAAAAAATAATTAAATTTTAATTTATTTTTAGGTTTTTGTCACAGGGTGCATGTGCTCACCAGAGAGAAATAGAGAGAAGGAAACTCAGAAATCACCCCCCCCCCCCCCCCGCCCCAGGGGATTGCCACACAGCAATCGCTTCTCCTTCATTCTTTTGGATTTTAAGCCACCAACTCTGGGACTTGAACCAGCCATGTGAGAATCCAGCACTTTAACCACATGCCACCTGCTGACCCCTTAATAAATCCTTTCTACTTTGTTTTTAGTTTATTATCTCACATAAACTTTTATGGCCACAAACAAACATATTTTTAATAATTCTAAGTCTACTTTATTGCAACTCTATTCTAAGTTTGAGGAAAAAAAAAAAAAAGACCCAGGTTTTGCAGACTTTATACATGTGCTACATGGACCAACTATATGGCCTGGTGGATAAGGCAGCTGGATGCCATGGTTCAAGTCCTAGACCTAGTAGACTGAGCAACATGCCAGGCATGTATGCATGCATGCCCCAAATCCTAAAATCCCTCCATTAAGTCACCTACACTTTAAAAAAATTATTATAACAGGCTTGTGTGTTTCCTTCCTATTACAAAGATTATGATCTTTTAGGACAAAATACAACCATATTTAAATAACTGAAAGTAACTCCTACCTAACTTTCCCTTACTTCCCTATAATGTCCTTTACTTAAGTGGGAGAATCTATGAAATTCTCCAAAGAGATGTTTCAACAGATGGCCTCACTACTAGATATGAGACTTACCTATTTAACTTTGTGGCACCTTCAGATTCAACATAATCCCATTTAACCCCATCTCCATGCATATTTTATAACTTCATTACATTAAACATACAGTAATAAAAAATCTACGAGGATATAATTTTTTAAGGTCTTAGCCATAGGTGTACATGTGCTGGCTGGAAAGAGAAAGAGAGAAACAATAAGAGGGAAAGTAAGAAATCACCCCCCACAGGGGATGGGCATACTGCAATACCCTCTCCCCCATTTTCCTCCTGAGTTTGCGGGTGCACACGTACATGTGTCCAACATGATTCTCAAGTCACCAGGTCCAGGAATTGAACCACAGTCAGCCATGTGGGAGTCCAGTGCTTTAACCACCATGCCATCTGCTGGCCCCAGACATAATATGTTTTAAATGCATCTATTGCTTTCTTTTTTAAAGTAATAAACAGAACACTTCTAGAAACAATAAGAAATGAGAGTTAATACTATTACCGGCAGAGGAAAATCACCATTTGACTTCCTGATATACTGCCCTATTCTGCCAGGGGAAATTTCACTGTAGGAGAAATTTACTACCCACCTGAATTCTGTGTGTAGCTATTATAAATCTTGATACTATAAATCAAATCAACAATAACAAATTCTTTCTTAGGAAATAAACAATAACCAATCAAATTTATTATTTATAGCCTGCCTTCTTTTAACAAGGATTTGAGGAAACTAAGATAAGGAAATAAGAATGTAAATAGGGATCCCTAGCAAGGCTTCTGGGAGAAAAACAGTAAAGGCAAATCTGTACCCTTGGCAGACTTTATCACTTATCGTTTACATAGATTGTCTCGTTTAATACTCACAACCACTCTATGAAGTAGACACTACTGTCATCCTCTTTGCCACATGAGAAAACTGGAGCTTAGAGACATTAGCGAGGTTGTACAGTCAGTCAA